GCGGACCCAGTCGGCTGTTCGCTGTAGTAAAAAGAGTCGAGTCAGTTATTATGAATAAAGAGGAAGGAGGAAAGGAAAGAGCAAGGCTTGCAACAGACAGCAAGGAAAGAGAAAGAGAAAGTCCCGAAGAGGCTTTGACGAATCCCCGCCTATGCGGACAGGGACACGACTTGTACGCCAACGGTGGGCGTCCAACAAAACCGCACAAGACCACAAGGCGAGAAATCGCCCCAAAAAGCCTGCCACAACCAAAAAACCACAAAGAGTGAAATCCTCCCAGCGTCGCCGCAGTCAGTGAGAGAGAGAGAGAGAAACCACAAAGCCTGCACCCCCAAAATGAAAAGAAAAAGCCCGTCAAAAACCCCCCGCAGCCACAGAGACCACGAGAGCCCAAAAAGAAAGAGAGAAATCGCCCCGCCCCCCAAAAAACCTCCCCCCATCAAAGAAAAGCAAAAAAAGAACATGGTAGAGAGAAAGACTCAAAAAAACCACCCTACTCACATACCGCCCATACCCGCCCGCCATCAAGCTCTCCTCAAAGCTCTCCTCGCTCGTCTCCTGGAACAGCGTCGTGCGCCTCGTCTCCCTCGTCTCCTCAAACAGCGCAATCCGCCGCCCCTTATGCGGACTGTCCACGATCCCCGCGCGCGCGTCCGCGTCCTGGCTGTTGCTCCCCTTCATCCCCGTGCCCGCGCCCTTGTTGGCACTCCCGCCCGAGGAGGACTTGGGCGGCGGCGTGGACGGCGGCGCGCCCAAAGCGGAGTGCGGCACCGCGCCACCACCCGCCCCCGGCTGTCCGAGGTACCCCGGCTGAGCGTGAGGAGGAGGAGGAGGAGACACGGGCCTCCGCGCCCGAACGAGGTACTCGGGCCTCCTCGCCTCCGCCTCCTGGAACTGCGCAAGCTGCCCCTGCCGGATGCGCGCCATCTCGCCGCCGGGCGGCGGCGCGACGGGCGTGGGGGCCGCGAGTGGGATGCCCCCGCCGTTGGTGCCGGGGTACGCGTTGTTGTTGCCGGGGTATGCGGTGCCGGGATATGCGTTGTTGCCGGGGTACGCGGTGGGGTACGCGCCGGGATATGCACCAGGGTAAGCGCCGGGGTACGCGTTGCCGGGGTACGCGCCCCCAGGGTACGCTGCACCGGGCCCGGGGCCGGGGCGGTGCACAGGCGGGGGCGAGATGGACGGCATGGAGAGCGAGGCGAGGGACCCGGACATGGGGTAGTACGGCTGGGGTTGCGGCTGCGGCTGGGCGCCGCGCGCGGGGCCTTTGCCGGGCGGTTTGCCTTGCGGCTGGGATTGGGATTGCGACTGCGAAGACGTGGACGAGGAGGTGAAGATGTCGTCCACATGCATCGGGATCTGCGCGTTTTTCCCGTTCGCATTCGTGGGCGTCCTATCCCCGCTTCCAGGCGTCGGCGTGTTCCCGGGTGTCGGTGTCGCCACGCCCGCTGGCCGATCCGCGAACGACACGCCCGCCGAGCGGTCCGCGAGCGACAGGCGGTCCATGAAGGGCGAGGAGAGGTTGGGGTTGGCGGCGGAGTTTGAGGAAGGCGGGGGCGTGGAGGAAGAGGGAGGGGGCGGCGCGGTGGGGGTGGAGGGCGTGTCGACGAAGGGGTGGGGGCTGGGCGGGATGTCAGAATTTGGAGTACAAGCAAGCAAGGAAGGGAGGGGGAGAGGGAAGGAAAGGAATACACACCTGAACTGGGGCATGGGTATCGCTGTGCCCAAGTTCATGGGGTGCGCGCCGACGAAGCGCGGGGTGTAGGGACTGGAGCGTAAGTATAATGTCAGTAAATGCCACTGCAAAGGGAAGCGGCGAAAGTGGACAGGCAGCGCACCTCGTCTCGGGCGTTAGCGTCTGTTGCTGGGGCGGCCGGGTGTTCGTCCTGTATGGGGCGTCAACACCACAGTGGGCGCATAATGGGGCGGACGTACTGTTTCTGCTGTGGCATGGACATGGTCATGGCTACGGGCAGCGTGTACGCTGCGGGGCGGTACGCCATGTAGGCTTGTTGTCTATGATAATGATATGGTGAGATTGGATTTGGATGGTCGCGGGGCACGATAAGACGACAGACGGATTGGTGTGCTGGGCGAGCGGCGACTCGGGGGCCGCCTGCAGGTTCAGGTAGTGCGCCATGTAGTCCGGGCTGTATGCATAACACCATTCAATGAGTACATTACATCCAGTGTCGCCGAAAGACCGCACCTTTGCGGCGTCGGCAGATGCGTAGCGGGCGAGGCACTGTACATGTGTGTCCCGTCGTCAGCTCATACTACACAGTGAGAGCAATGAACGCACCTTTGGAACGGCGACGCGGGAGAGGAAAAGACTGTCGTAGTCGGGGCGACATCGGTCGCATTATTATTATTATTATCGTGGCCATTCTGATTCTGATTCTGATTCACGGTGTCGCCCTGGTCCGCCTGCGGGGCGGACATCATCGGGGGTGCGTCGCAGAGTGTTTTGTGTGGGTGGTATCGCTGGGCGGGAGGGCAGTTTTGGAGGGAGGACGAGGAGGTGGGAGGAAGCAGAGACCGCACAGGCATCAGCATGACCGTGTTCAGTTTCCTTAATTGGTTTATCCATATCCGGGTATCGCCTTTTTTTATCCGGAAAAATATTACAAGCGAAGGGGAATATATACTGCAGGCAATGAAGAAAAATATAATTGACTATGTACAGACAAGGAGGGGAGCGCCCACCCACGTTTTAAAAATATTACGCTCGCTCGCTCGCCATTGTCCCACATCATAGCTTATCTGAAACCCGGGCGCTTGATGACTCGACAGTGAGCGGGCCCATTTTTTGTAAAAGAATAAAACGTACCTTTTCAGCCCCATATCGAAACGAGTCCTTCTCTGTGAAGCTGTTTACTGAAGCTATGTTTGAAAAACGGCCCCCCCTTCGACAAGCTGCGACTGAGTAGCACTCATCGTTGCCTCACAAAGCGCAGCATATCGAAAACGGTGACTTTCTCGGGTGATCTGCTTGGAATGAAGTTGGTGGCCGTGTTTCTCTGCGATAGGCCCATTTATTCCACAATTTTGGGTGCATGGAGAAAAGCATAGGATTGACAAAGGACATGCATGCATCATGGTCGTCGTGAAAAAGAGGATAGGGTAAGAGATAAGTAGTGGATACAGCGGATGCCAAGCATGTATCTACTCCTTGACTGCGCCCTCCTCCACCGCGAGGAACCCGGCACGCTTTTCCTGCACGCGCGCAGCGCGGCGCTCGCGGGCAGCCTAGGAAAGTATCGTCAGCACACAGAAGAAAAAAAGACTAAACAACGCACCTTGTTCTTGACACGGCGCGCCTCCATCTGGTCGCTGAGCACCTTGGTGCGGCTCTTCTCCGCCTTCGCCTTGTGGATGTACTCCATCAGCACCCGCTTGTTCTTGAACACATTACCCTTCGACTTCTGGTATAGCGAGTGGTACCTGTCCCCTCATCAGCACCCAAAAAAAAAATGCAAACCAGGAAAAGAAAGACCCACAAATGCTTATCAATCTTCCCCGCCTCCCGATACTTCCGCAGCAGCCGCCTCAGGACCCTCTGCCGGCGCATCCACAGCACCTTCGTCGGCATACGCGCCTCACTCGTACCCTTCCTCTTTCCTGTCCCGGTGTGCCGCCCCTTGCGCTTCGCGGCGAGCAGGGCCCGCGTGCGCGCGCGCGAGTGCACGGTCGTGGGCTTGACGATGATGTCCCCCTCCTTGATCAGCTTCTTGACGTGCGCGCGCGAGTTGGCGTTCCCGATCTCGGACTGCTCGGCGGGGTTCAGCCAGATTTTGCGCTGCCCGACGCCCTTGACGGACGCGGCGAGACGTTTTTGTGAGCGGAGATTGACTGGGGGGCGTCAGCAGAGCATGTGGCGAGCGTCGAGCGTAGCGAGTAATGGAAAGTAAAAAAAAGCACAAAATCAGTATCATCCAGTCTCAGTAAGGATAGGCAGCGCACCCATCGTCCGTTCGATGTCTACACAACACCTTCGTCAGCACAAGAAAAAAAAGGAGACAACGACGAAACGCTACCTTGAGGATGGAGTCGAGTGTGAGTGTCGTGTGGCTGTGCGTTGCCGAGTCAGCAAAACAAACCAAGCACCGCCAAACTGTATATCACCCGGCAGATGGCGTCGGGACCGAGAGCCGGTGATTGATGTCGGCATGCTCGGCATCGGCCGTGTTCGAGTTCGAGTTTGAAGAGCACTGTGTGGGCACAAACGTAGTTGAAACTGGGCGCGTCGTCGGTAATGAACAACGAGGCCCGACGACGACGCCAACAGTGCGATTTTCAAAAAACAACTGAACTGTCCAAAAGAAAAAATTAGCCTGACCTTGATTCGAACAAGGGACTTCCTTTAAAGTATTTGATAGTCCATTACTTGAGGAGGACATGTTTCCAACTACACCACCAGGCCTTACCATACAGGGACTCTGCGAGATTCATGTTGAACAATTGAACAATAAATTTCAAAACGGCAGAAAAACAAACGGCCTGACCTTGATTCGAACAAGGAACTTCCTTGTAACATTACAAATATTGGGGATATGAAGAGGACATGTTTCCAGCTACACCACCAGGCCTTATCATACTGCAACTTTGCGAGATCCATGTCGAACAATTGAACAGTAAATTTCAAAACGGTAGAAAAACAAACGGCCTGACCTCGACTCGAACAAGGAACTTCCTCTGAAAACTATGCAGAACGGAAAAACTACACATGAAGAGGACATGTTTCCAACTACACCACCAGACCCTGTCATACTGTAACTTTGCGAGATCCATGTCGAACAATTGAACAATAAATTTCAAAACGGCAGAAAAAGAAACAGCCTGACCTTGGTTCGAACAAGGAACTTCCTCTGAAGAAGATACCAACTTCATACATAAAGAGGACATGTTTCCAACTACACCATCAGGCCTTGCTATTCACACAAAATCCGTGAGTTGAATGCGTGCAAGGCTGAACAATAAAACAACAGAACAAAAATGGAGGGTCTAGCCTTGAATCGAACAAGGGATTCCCTCATATTTTTGGAGAAGATCTTAAATACGAAGAGGACGTGTTTCCAACTACACCACCAGACTTTTGTCACACTGAAATTTGCATAATTGAACCTGACCCATGTCGAACCATAACAAAAATGAAAGGTCTAACCGTGTTTCAAACAAAGGACTTCCTCTTACTTTTTTTATTGGCTCGCTGAGGTCGGACATATTCCCAGCTACACCACCAAGCCGGACAAAACCTCAAATCCGCCGTCGTTGAATCGATGTATTCGAGATCAAAGTTGGAAATGAAAACAGCCTGGCCTTGAATCGAACAAGGAACTTCCTCTCACAACCTTCGTCAATATCATTTGAAGACATGTTGCCAACTACACCACCAGGCCTTGAGGACAAATGGGAAATGGGATTTCCTCCGATTGTGTCCGGGATCATGTCCGGGATCACAGATCAGCGGTCGATGGCAAATAAGGGTACATAGTCAGCCGCTTCATTTGAGCGCGTTTGGGGAGTGTCGTGAGCGACTAGCAAGCACAGGACGTGTCCCTGACGCGTTTTATTACACTATAATCCACTTAAGTCACCTGGAATTCAGTTGGAATTCGGATCACAAAATTTTGTCCAGGGTCCAGAACAAGTCCAGAATAAACACTACACTACGCGCCGGATGGCGGAAATGATCTATTGCGCGCTGACAAAGCCACCCTTTTGTCTGTGATGCGCCCTTATTCGAGGCACCTTTATATCTTTATTGGAGCCCATTTTTGGCATCCATGTTCGACATCAAATTTTCCGCTTAGGCTCACCATCATTCCAATGAACACAACTCAGGAGCAGGTGCTCACTAGCGCTTACTAGTGCCCAATGGTATGCTCTTCTTACACGCTCTCCAGCACATATAGGGGTCCCGCCTATTCGAAACTCCGCTCTTCGGATATCGCCGCCGGATGTGATGCCGGCTACGATCGCCGGATATCCCAATTCCCATTCTTTCACCAGGCCTTGTCATCTGCAAAATGTCCATGTGTAGGTACAACCAAATTCATTCACTGACGTTCGTCGACAATTCTCAACAGTCCTTGATTGATATCCCCGCACGCGAGTCGATGCGCGATGGCTCGAACAAATCGAACTTCTTGATTGGCCCGACTCGGAGCGTGCGCTGGATGTTGTCCGCGCTCTTGCGCAGGCTTTCTGGGCGGCAGCCGTAAAAGTGATAGGCATAACATATTACTGATAAGAGAATGAAGCCGGAGTCCGGCCTGGCGTAGAACCGCGCCAGCTGCTCGAGGCTCAGCGTCCCGAGGTCCGACGCGTAGAAGCCACTACATTATTTAGCGGAGGGTCTGGGTGAGGAGCTCCGAGAGGCGGTCGACCGCAGCGGACATGGGGGTAAGAGGCCAGTGATTTGACGACACGCTTTGACCGTGCCAATGTATGGGCGGAGTGGACTTATAAAACTCAAATGGAACCATTCCCTGTAAGCGCGGAGCGCCAACTTGAAGTAAATGATTTATATATATGGTTTTTGCCACTTGTGGGTTACAGTGCGATTAGTTTAAACTTCCTATCGCTCCTCTGTGGTATCAAAGCAATCGTCAACAATCGTGCAGGCGCGAGTTTCGGCGGAGGACGACCTGCGTTGGGGAATGAGTATTTAAGTATGAGGGTGATAAGTCACTCCAATGAGGTTAGGACTTACGCATAGCGGGTCTGAGCTACGCTTCGGTGGGCTCGAAGCTTGTCGCACAGCCTGGGCACTCTGTGGTCTCAAAGCAGTCCTCTACAATCGTGCAGGCAGGAGTCTCGACGATGACGGGCTCTTCGGTGGGCCCGAAGCTTGTCGCACAGCCTGGGCAAGTGCGAGTTTCGAGAGCGGGCTCCTCTGTGGTCTCAAAATGCGGCTACCAAAAATTTATAGTGAGTCAACTGTTCAGGAAATAAAATTGTAAATGACAACTCACATTTGGGCGAGCGATAGAGACTGTCACCAGCACAAGCACAAAAAGAGTAGAGAGTTTGTTAAACATGTTGAACTTAGTTGAGCTTGGGCGATGTAGAGGAGTTCGACGTAAGAGTGGAAGATTATGGAGTAGGTCTCTCTTGTGATGTCCTTTTATAGTTTCTAGACGAGAGAAGAGTCGAGAACGCATATAAGCATTGATGTCTGCGGATAGATTCCGTATATCGATATGGAGCTGAGAAACCTGAGGCTGTCCTGGTGCGCGAGTTTTGATGCCGACGCTTCGAGGTTGAAAGGTCTGGAGTCAACTCGACTTGGATTCCAACACAAATCTGGAGCTGGGTTAAACCATAAACGAGATGAAAAGTGGATTTAAACTCTAATATTTGCTTCAGATTATCGGATGTAGCTTGGATTAGGGCGTTTCAGATATCAGTATTTGGACGCAACTTGGGACGCAACTCAATGCCCCACTTGACCCCAACTTGAGTCACACCTTTTCTCCGGCAAGTGCAACAGCTGATGGAAATTAAATGGGAGAAGTTGGGGCATAAAGTTGGGCATGAAGTTGCGTGTCAAATCATGACACGCAACTTCGAAGTTGGGATGTTTTTTCGGTTGCAATTCGAAAATAAGTTGGGCATCAAGTTACGTCCCAAGTTGCGTCCAAATACGCGTATACTGATATTTGAAACACCCTATTATTGGGGAGGGAACTGGAATCACTGCAAAATCCTTGGCACGCGGAGGCTGAGGGAGCACCGACCGCGAGGAAGTTCCAAATTAGGGCACAGGATAGCTCCCGATGCGATGTTGGGGGTTGTCTTGCAACCCCGTATCTTCGTTGTCGGCAGAAGAGTAGTGCATCCGACCAGTTTTGAATTCAGTTGCAGCTAGAGTCCGAGTCTTCCACTTGCAAGAGCCCGCTAAATTATAAAGCCTGGTTCGTGCCCCCAGTCGATCGACTCGAGCTGAGGCGTAGCGCCTCTGGAACGATTTTCGCGGACACATTGCAACTTTTGCGATCCATTGGCCATGGCGGCCGTCCGAGTTTGGTTCGTTGTTATCGGACCTTGCTCATACCGAGAACACTGCCACAATATCTGCCTAAAGAAGGAAGCTGTAAAAGCAAGAGCGCCGAAGAAAAAGAAAAAAAAAGAGGGCAACAAGAACCGGCGTTAGCACACGATAACACCGGTCGCGAGAGTAAACACAAAAAGAGCAACGCATTTTTTTTGTTGAACCGTTGAACTCAGACCTTTGACTGAGTTGATGGTAAACCTTGAAGTTAATGGCAAACCTTGAAGTTGACGACAACAGAAATGCCACTCCCCGAGTACGTTTCCGAGCGATTCGACCTATTCGACCGCGCCACGCCCGAAGAGTGGGAGTGGTACGGACCCCTCAACACTCTGCTCGGACATCTCTTCCCCTCCGAGCACTACGAAGTCGCGCTGCAGTGCAGTTTCAGCCCTCCTTGGCAGCCCCGGGCCTCCGTCCACCACGGCACCGACCGCCACGCATTCGTCGTGCACCGCATCCACAAACGCGCCAAGTACCCCGTGTGCGTTGTTGAAGTGCGGCCCGCGCGGTGGCGGACGTGCAGATGCGTGACGCGCTCGGTTCGTTGGTCAATGACGGGGGGTATAAATATTGTTCCGACCCTGGTCGGCATAAGCGCGCTGGGCTCCCGGTTCGCCGTGGACGCGTACGACACGGCGTCGCGCGAGCTGACGCCTCCGCCAGCGATATCGATGCCCAAAGACCCGCGGATTGCCCTGGACGACGCCGACACGGACCTGACCTGCTGGGCGCACGACTTCCTGGACGCGGGCGCAGGGAGAACATACGTATATCAGAAAGTCCACCAAGTTCACCAAGTTCACCGTGAATTTGATGAACTTGGTGAACTCCGGGTCAAGAGGTATGCCCAGTGAAAAGACCATATGCGCCGGTATGCCGAGATAGGCTGAGATAGGCGCCTGCCGAAGCTTCATACCACAGCCTACCAGAGGCTTCAAAACTGACCGTTTTCATATGGCTCGTATGCGCACATCGCTGCCGGTATGAAATATCTGTGTATTTCATAGAATATATAAATAATATATTTATCGGTTCCTCGCCCGCCCCCGCCCCCGCCCGCGCCCCCGCCCGCGCCCCCGCCCGCGCCCGCGCCCCCGCCTGCCCGTCGATTCGTCCGCTCGCCTGTCCGCCTGCCCACCAGCTCGGTCGTCCGCCTGCTTCGCTGCCTGGCCACTTGCCCGCTCGCTTCCCGCTCACCCGTTCGTTCGCTCGCCAGCATGCGTCCCCGCTTGCTCGTTGGGCGCCTCCCTACAACGACCCGATATCAGCTGCCTTTCTTTTCCAACAGTAACTGCACGCACCTCGCACCGTATGGGTCTGGTTTGCAGTGCTGAAGAACTAGCGCTTAGCAAATTATCTTGAAGCAACTAGTTCTTACCTGTTGCGACTCTGCGCGTGTCTCGGCGCACTTCCGTCCTGAGCGCCGTGCGGGGGTTGGCTGCTGCACGAATGCGGACAAACATCAGCGGGGTGGAGCGACAAAAATATTGTAGACAAACCTTGTCTTGTACTTGGTTCTCGATGGTGAAGACCGCGACAGTACAGCGTCGTCGTGCGCGCGCACATCGCTGCGCTGCCGAAGCCGTGTGCTGTGGTAACGTGCTGAGTGCACTAGTCGGTGGTCACCTGCTGAGAACTGAAGCTGAGAGGAAGGGGAGAAGGAAACACTCGCCTCTGGACTGATCCACTAGCCGCGTCAAACAAAACTGAACAGAAGTAAATAGTGGCTAGAAATGGGGAAGGTGTAGACGTACTGACGCATCGACTGGCGCACCGCATTGTTTCCGGCTCGAAGCGTTGATTCGAGCGTGCAACATGATCCTACAGGCCATCGGAATCGTCCTGCCAGAAACTTCGCGAAGATACGATGAGAATCAAAGTGTTCGCTGTTGTGTCCAGGGATATGGTAGACGAGGTGTGAGTGAATATTAGATGAGAATCCCAGCTAGGTATGCAGCCAGGAGCCCAAGAAGAAGAGCTTCAATGTCGGCCAGAGCACCTGCTTGACCATTGCGCAGATCGTTGCCCAGGTCGT